TTTTACGGTGTTTTTTGTGAGTTCTTGTCGCAGCTCTGCAATAGTGTTGTGTGCTTCATTTAACAAGAATTCCAAGTCTGCAATTTTAGTGTCAGAATCCGCAAGACGACGCAAGAGTTCTTGTGAGGTGGATCCATTTAGTCCACCCTGAACAGTGCTCAAAGATTCACATTTTGTCTCAAGACGTTTGACTTTTTCGTTGATTGGATTGTAAAGACCATCCATTCGTAAACTCAGATGAGATATGATTTCATCACGTACCGATTGTAATATCTGGGGAAGTTTTGCCTTTTTTCCATTTTGTTTTGCTGGAACTAGTTCTTCCAAATACGGCAGAAAGTTGCAGAACATAGTTAGAAGAAGAAGTAGATGTTCCGGGATGCTTTTCTGGAGATGGACTTCACGTTCTTTATGTTTCTTAAGCTAATAAAGAGAGTCAAGAGTTACTCGGTGACAAAGTCAATAGATGATATGATTTACAAACATTTAGTACATGATTACATACTAAAATATTATTATTATTAAGCCAATATAAATACATCCTAATTGTTATAGGTAATAAATGTCTAATCAAAACTAAGATATTATACATTATAGAATACAAACATTAAATGTGTGCAACACTTTCCAGTATTTACTACAAAATAGTGTTAATTAAACAATAGAATTAGCGTAATAGTCTCCTTCACGGTTACCTGTGCCATCTTGAAAGGTAGCCGTGCCTTTGCATCGAAGCGAGACAACCGTTGAGCGTGCAATGATAGAAACCTGTGAATAATTGTCTGTAGGTGTGAAAGAAGGTTTCTATCATTGCACACTCAACGGTTGTCTCGCTTCGATGCAAAGGCACGGCTACCTTTCAAGATGGCGCAGGTAACCGTGAAGGAGACCATTTAGCAGTATTTAGTGGTATTTATGTTGCACAGTTTTAGTGTTTGTACTCTATTATTGAACACATATTTAGTATATATTTCCATACCATCGTTTCTTTGCATCCAATTTTCGCAAAAGGACATTGAGATTTAAGTGCTTCACACACGTCCACAGAGCCTGGATTGAGATGTTCTTTCATCTGAAATTTGTTTGAATTGCTTGGTGTTAGAAAGATTGTATTTACATCTTGTGACACTTTGTGATCATCATTAGTAATACCGGTGGTACAAACGCTCTGTCGTGGCCCTACCTGGTCAGCCGACACCATTTACTAAGAAATAGACGCGCGAGGGTAAAAATAAGAACTCTGAGCGCTTTAACAAGCAAGTTTAATAAAAACCTTCACCTTTCTACGTGGAAATTCCTTGCTGCAGTCCTGGCATTTAACGGGAAACAATGGGCATTGCTGTTCATGTTCCTGGAATATAATGGAAGACAATCAAGCAAAGTTGCTACAACAGTAAATGTATATTGTAAGGGTTTGTGCGTCAATTTGAAGATGAGGAATGAGAAAAAACGTTTCTCTTTTGTTTCTACCACTTACCTTAAGATTGGCAAAAGTAACTCGTTGCTCACAATAGGAACACAAGACCTCTCTAAATTGACAYTCATTCTGGAGATGGTTTGGAAGAGTCTCCTTTGTGACTTGTTTCTCACATCCACGATTTACGCAGGTTAGAGGAATAAACTTGCAGGTGTTTTGATGTGCCTGAAATGGAATCATACAATTGCCTGTCGGTTACGTGCCTTCGTCATTTGACTCTTCAACGATGTAGTCAAGATACGGCAACCCATCAAGACTGCACCGAAACCATGCACTTAAGGTTCCTTCTCAAGGTGTCTAGAGATTTCACGTCCAAATGTTYTCGAGTAGATATTCAGGGTACTCATTTCCATTCAGACCCCTAATAAGTTATAATCATACATACCTCACGATGACGTAGCTGACTTCTCCATTTGCAGCCAAAAGCGCAATAAATGCAGMACAAGATGAGATTTTGGATTTCACGATCTGCGAATTTATCCCTGAAAATCTATATTGAAGGATTTATTGATTATATTGATGAGAAATTCAAGGATCAATTCTACATAAATATTGGGCAGTACCGACTCAGGCAGTTAAGTTACTCAGCTCATTTGATGATTTTGCGTTAACTTTATTAGAGCACAAAAAGTTTTGTTACGTAAAGTTGATGCTCGATGACAACTAGCACATTACAGTATGCAAAGAATTCAAAGTACTACAGCTTTGAATACCAATATTCATATGAGTGAAGTGAAATTTGCAATGATGGCTATCATATCACAAGAATGTTCCTTATAATGCAGTCTTTAGCCAACACAGGAAAGTGCGCACTAAGTAACTAAAGACGAAAAAGAAACATTACAGAGGAACGGGAAGTGCGTAGATCAAACATTGCATCAGATTCTTGGAATGAGGAAATTTCTACATTTCTGATTTACAGCAAATTTTTCGGAAGCTCCTTTGCTTATGTGATAATCAGTTATTTTTATAAACTCTTGCACTCAGCCTAGTGTGTTATTACTGAACTTTGCGCGCCCTTTGACACTATGCCTCCAAATTCTGTTGAGGAAAAAATTTGACTGGGATTTCCTCCTATCAAATAGCGTAAAAATCATTGTAAAATTAATTTAGAAAGTGAATACTACCTTATCTCTTGTCAGTGGCTCTTGACAAACAACACAGTTGGTAGTTCCGTTACTAGAAATAAGATATGAGTTGACCTGTTAAAATTACGCTTTCATATCGGTTCTTGGAAAGTTCTGGGTGGTTGGTTGGCCTTGTCATACAGACATTTCACAGTGTGAAATGTCTGATATGTGCAAGAAATTAAATAATACAGTGACTTCGAGGCCAGAAATGATAACCCAGGTGAACACATGCAAATTCTCACCCAAGAGATTGAAAATTTCAAATGAAGTCAGGGGATTTTACTGTTTATGAATTCTCATTTCGATTCTGTTTTGTACCAGTTTCGAAACTTCAAGAAAAATGTAATGCCATATGCACTGGCTCAGTGCCAGATATGGAAATAACCAGAATTCCATCAAAATATTATGTAAAATTAAATTCCATAGTTAGGAAAACTTTTGCTGAGTATTTTCTTCCACTTCCGCCTTATAAATCGATCAACTCCGCCGAGTGTAGTGGGATTGACAAGTGTGATAAAGTGAAATGTAAGTCGCATATACTTAGTTTCGAGGGTTTTCGCCTGTGAATAATGTGAATATGCGCACATTGTGAATAACTAACACTTTGAATGCATTTAATATTCGTATTCGTCGTCGCTACTAGCAATTATAGGCGCCCATAATTCAAATGCGGAAGTACAACTTACACAAATGTTCGTTCTAGACATTCATAGCAGTATCGATGTCCACATGTAGTCTGGATTGTAGCTTTGAGTACGTTTTTACAGAGTTCACATAGATGCTTACTGTGGATCGTTTCTCGGTCTTTATCAGCTACAGCATAACCTCCAACTTTATAAGTATTACACATTTTAAAAGTTTCTGCAAGTAAACATAACAGTCCTGGATAAAGCATTATGCATAGCTTAATTTCTACATTGCATTTTCAAAAAGGTATCATGGTCTAACTGTAAATTTAAAATAGAGCACTAGTGGCCCGCACTAGTTACTTACAAATTTGGTTCCTTGTACATTCAAGCATATAACTATGATTCAAGCGACATTGAAATAATGGATATATAGTAATAGAATTTCGCTTTCAGTTTCAATTTCCGGATTTCCCAGAAATTACGGATATTACTAGCTGGTAATTTTCTGAGATAATTACCTGGAAATAGTAAGTTATCACTTAGATCACCATAGAATAATAACCAGATGCATTGAAATGGTCATTCATAAGTGCAAGCTCATGAACTAACGAGCGTAAATGCTCCAATGTTTTTTCTGTTTGAACCTTGCGTGACGTTGTTTCACAGGAAAAAATCACAAAATCCCAAATTTGTGAAAAAATTGGTATTTAATAAATACCAACTAAAACCCAAGATAATACCAGTTAATGATACAAGTGGAAAACCCAAATCTTGTGTTTTAATTGGTAAATTCAAAAGGTGTATGGTATAGCATATAATAATACCAACATAAACACAAGATTCTATTTTTATAATTATATTCATTTGGGAAGTTCTTGGTATTTGTAATTGAAGAACATCCTAAACTGGGATTTAACTTGGTATCAAGTTTAGTAAATTGGGGATTTTTTGGTATAAACAAATTCAATCAAAGTTCCCATTACCCAAGTTTGGATTTTACTTGGTATCAAGTTTAGTAAATTGGGAATTTTTTGGTATAAACAAATTCAATCAGAGTTCCCATTACCCAAGTTTGGATTTTACTTGGTATCAAGTTTAGTAAATTGGGAATTTTTTGGTATAAACAAATTCAATCAGAGTTCCCATTACCCAAGTTTGGATTTTACTTGGTATCAAGTTTAGTAAATTGGGAATTTTTTGGTATAAACAAATTCAATCAGAGTTCCCATTACCCAAGTTTGGATTTTACTTGGTATCAAGTTTAGTAAATTGGGAATTTTTTGGTATAAACAAATTCAATCAGAGTTCCCATTACCCAAGTTTGGATTTTACTTGGTATCAAGTTTAGTAAATTGGGAATTTTTTGGTATAAACAAATTCAATCAGAGTTCCCATTACCCAAGTTTGGATTTTACTTGGTATCAAGTTTAGTAAATTGGGAATTTTTTGGTATAAACAAATTCAATCAGAGTTCCCATTACCCAAGTTTGGATTTTACTTGGTATCAAGTTTAGTAAATTGGGAATTTTTTGGTATAAACAAATTCAATCAGAGTTCCCATTACCCAAGTTTGGATTTTACTTGGTATCAAGTTTAGTAAATTGGGAATTTTTTGGTATAAACAAATTCAATCAGAGTTCCCATTACCCAAGTTTGGATTTTACTTGGTATCAAGTTTAGTAAATTGGGAATTTTTTGGTATAAACAAATTCAATCAGAGTTCCCATTACCCAAGTTTGGATTTTACTTGGTATCAAGTTTAGTAAATTGGGAATTTTTTGGTATAAACAAATTCAATCAGAGTTCCCATTACCCAAGTTTGGATTTTACTTGGTATCAA